GGGAAGGGCCTCTCACCTCTGACCAGACATGCTCCTGGACTCCTCACGTACCTTTGGAAGCCCACCTGCCTTTCACTGAAGAGCTGAAGTCCACCCTCTCCATATCCTCTCACCACAGCCCGGCAGATAAAAGTAAGCGGGGACACTCCCTTAAGGGGTGTCCTCACACAGTGAACAGCATGACCACCAGCGCCTATATTAACATAGTCAGTTTTTAATCAGGCTTCGTAAAACAGGGTTTGCAGCATTTTTGCTGCATCCGGTTTCCACTGCACTGAGCCAAAGCGATGCTCTTCCCCTCTGAAGTACACTGCAAGAAAATTATTTTGGTTTTAAAACCTACCCTTTGTAAGTCAGGAAAAGCAAGGGATTCCTCCCAATTTTCCATGTATTCTTAACTGATGTCACTCTGTACTGATGTACTACAGTATAGCCTTTAATCCTACACAGTCTCCTCACGTGCCTTTTACCATACATTGAACACACAATGCCCAGAGCTGCTGGCCAAGCATGACTGACTGTGCATGTGTCAATGCAGATACATTTTGAGCTGCTACTTGTGTTATTTTCTGAAAGAAAGGACATACAGAAGACATGAGACAGAGTTCTTTTTTTTTTCAAAATACAAGCTGACAGCACATACTAAATAATTTACTGGACCAACAGAGTTTTTAGGCTTTTCCAGCCATTAGCTGACTCTAACTTTTGGGATGTCGACTTTTCCTTTCCACTGGTGCTTCAAGGACACCAGGATCATCACAATCCAAGGAAGACCAGACATTTTTCCCCATGTCAAAATACTAAGCCAAATTATACTAAGCTAAATGATTAAGCCCTGCTACAACCTTCTTTTCATGCCTAGCATTGTGAGTAGAAGTTGTGGGAGCTGAAATGGGACAGGCTGAAGTCTTCAGGTTCTAAAATGAAATACTTGGGAGTACCATACCAGAGGACACAAAGAACGTTATGATCATGAACAAAGTCATCTTAATTACCAAGTTAATAACCTGCTCCTGTTGTGCTTCTTGGGCTAAAAAAATACTGAGAGTTAGGACTACAGAGTTACTGTGGGACCTTTCCTAGTGTTGTAGGTTTGTCTCCAATCTTAGGAGGTTGTAAATAAACAGAAAACTTGGGAGTTTTGTCTCTTATAAAGCAGAAGTAACTACTAACTACTTACCCTAGTTTGAAATACATCGTTTTTCTACAGTAGCTTTTAAAGACTCGCAATGACTAACACAAAAACAAGACTGAGAAAAAAAGACAGCGACGGCACGTGCTACAGAAGCCAATGAGAACAGCTGCCAGAGTGGGACTCATCTCCTCCACAGGCAGCAGTGCAGAGCTTTGGTAACATACACACACTCCTTCCACAAGCAAGAGAAAGAGGCATGACCCTTCAGGGCAATTTTACCCTGCCCTCATATGGACTTCTAGAAAAGCAGAGGAACTGAATGCCAAACTTCCAAATGGCTGAAGTTAAACAAGTGAAAACCCATCCTCCTGTTAAACCATCCATTAATTTCAGCATGGAGTTGTATGTATACGCGCACACAAATATATACCACTAAATAAATAAAACCAGACAGTTTCTATATAGCTGCTGTTTAAAATGTTCGAATCCCCCAACGCAAACAAAATCTGCACTGGGAAAGGAGGGGCTCTGCCTGCCATCCTGCTAGATGAGAAATTCCATTAAGGCACACCTATGTCTTTGTGGCACTAGTTACTTGTATGAAAGTGTTCCTATTAACTAAAAAAAAAGACTGCTTACTGGTCCTTTTGTAGCCATACATACATTCTACCTTCAGCCACAGTTGGCCCCTCTGGCACTCAGGAGTGTGGGTGGTGGACCTGCCCCAGCTGCATTTCTGTGCTGGAGAGGGTCCCTAGCTGAAACCCTCCCCAAACCATCCCATTTTCTCATAGTCCCTTGGCATTTTCAAGCCCCTTTGTCACCACTTTGGGACCACAAAACTACACTGGATACCACCAAAAACTGTTCTGCTGCAGACACTGTTCTGGAAAGGACCATGAAATACACCATTTGCCTGCTGCACTTTCTAGCATTTTTTACAAGCTAGCTCTCAGAAAAGTACACACAAAACAACAACACTTTTGGTGAAAACGCTAGAAGCACAAATGCCACAATGTTGGCAAATGAACTTTAAAAAAAAAAAAAAAAGAGAAAACGTACTGGTTTGTGTTTCTTCAAGGAAGTAGGGTGTATTTCAGAGGTAGTATATTTTTCATAAATTATTATAAATAAACTCTTGCAGCAACTTCTATTTTTCCACAGGATACTCAAATAGTTTTGGGAATGACAGTAAAAAAAAATAAACCTGCTGGTATAACATTATTAAGCAAAACATTTTCACTGATTTCTTTCTAAGCCCTTGGCAAGTGGAGGGGAATGAATCAACAGGTGAGAATATCCACTGGGTCTGCAACAGCTTATTGGTCTGTCCAGGAGCAACACAAGGAAAGGTGATGGGGACACAGCCCTTTGCTTTCTCTTGGTGAGCAAATGTGCTTGCTTCCTCTTCAATCTGACCTCTCAGAACCTGAGGGAAAACACCTCTCAGGTGGAAGTGCTGGAGTATGGTTCCAAAGCAACGGAAAAGCCAGAGCGACCCAACAGCTGTGCAAATCCTTCCCCTGAGAGATGCCAGGTGCATTAGGGTGGAAATCTCTACAGCCCCAACAGAGGAGTCAAAGCTATGCACTATGGGCTCCAACAGACATGTCTTCCGTGGGAATCAGGTCATACAGGAGGAGGGGGAAACCGTACCAAAATGAAAACTTTCATTAACATAAACTGCAGAAGAAGAGGAGAAAGTATCATCTTTCCTAGCCTGCCTCAGCCAATAACCCTCAGGGTTCTTTCTAATAACATCCTTCCTTGGGGAAATATAATTACCAAGTTAAAGATACACTTTCAAACAGAAAGCAAGCATAGTCATAAATATCTTGAGTGCTGTTTAGATCACTAGCATTTATAGAAAACATTCAATTTTTTTCTTTTGATTTTTTTCCAGCTGCCTTGTCCTGGTTGTCATTTTTGACAGCTTCCATGCTTACAAATTAGTCACTTCCACACACCTCATGGAGAAGGCTACATGAACACACCTGAATGTTTGAAATCTGTGATGATCTTCCTTTTGAACTTAGGTGTTAATAATAAACTTTTGTAAGTAGTCCAGTACTACGGTGATTCTAACTCCAGCTGGGTTAATTACACAATAATTAGGTACAAACATCGCAACACAAAACACAGCTACATCATTATTTGCAACAAATGTTAACTCTAAATAAGTGCAACCTGTCCCACAAACACTTGCTATAAACGACTTAAAAATAAACGAAAATTTGATGGGGTAAACACAGAAATAAAAAAAAATTCTCCGGGAGAATTTTTTTTGTTAAAAAAAAATTAAAATAAAAATCTCAGCACTCATTTAGAGTTCAGGATCTTGTGAAAGAAAGCTTTAAAAGGAGCAAACCTGATTTGCTGTGGCTGTTGCGGCGAAGGGAACACTTGTTGCAGGAGTTGTTGCTGCAGAGACAGTGGCGGCCGTAGCGTTGTGCATCATGGGTACTTTCAGGAGGGGAACCATGGAAGCAATGAACAGGAGGGTGCAGCATTATGGTAAGAGAAGTGGTATTTTTGGCATGGTGAATATCAAGAGCGGCAAGCCATCGTCATGGGTTAAACCGGCAGATGGCATGCAATCACAGTGCAAAGCGAGAAAGCGTGGCGGAGAAATAAAAAAAAGGGGAAAATAGCTTATTACAAGTACAATTAAAGGAAGGTTGTCAACACAATCAGCGATTCCCAGAAAAAAAAGAGTAAGGACCACTGAAAATGTGACTGTTGTCTCTAAGAAGAAGATTACTTGCACAAATGAGGTCTTTACCAAAATAGCCCGTTACCTGCGTATTGTTACGTGGGTTATTTGTTTTACCCCAGTACAGATATAAATCACTTCAAAATAAAATTCTACTACAAAAAGGCACAGTGGTTTGAACTGGGAAGAAAACTGATCAATGTTTATCTTAATTTTTAAACACAATTAAAAATTAATTATTTTCATGTAACTTCATTTTGAAGTAAGCCAGATACTCGCTGTCTTCCTTTATAATCCAATTTACGCATTTTTTCCTACTAGCACTGCATAACTGTTTGACTTTATCAGAGTTAAATTACCATCTGCTTTGAGGCAAAAATCAGGAGAGGGATGATGATAATTTTCCTGATATAAATACTACTTTGTTTGATCTAAAAAAGCAAGATCGATTTTGTGAAAGTCACTGCTTTTGCTCATTTTAAGAATGAATTTTAATCAGCATCTTCATGGGGGAATTATTAACTTGATGTTTTAAGGCTTGATATTTTAACCATTTGATCTGAGTAGGCTCAAAAAAACCCCAAAGTAAAATCACTGGGATAGGGCTATAGCCTCTTAGAGGCTGTTGCATTGGACTTCACCCTTGCATGCCCAAAATGTTAATTTCAAGCTGCAAATATATTTAAAGGAGGAGTGAGATTCAGATCACGAGTTTCAACAGAACCTCTGTGGATCAAAGTAAGCATTTCTGGGAAACGCTGATAAAACTTTCTAACACACAGCAAAGGAGAAATAGGCACACCACTATGAAACTTTAAAACACTGATGAAAATTTGCTGGCTTTTTCCAGTATTTTATGATTTTATAGTACTAGCCAATATAAAATATAAAGAGAAATAAAACTTTGAAAACTGAAAAGCAGACTGGAATTCATGGTATTATGCTTTTGCAGTGTAGTTGTTATAGCAGGTGATATCACGTCTAAACTGCAGCTTTCATCTACAAATCTAAACACTCTGCGAAGTCAACCAGAAGGACAAGCGAACCTTTAATTCTAGTCAGTGGCTAAATCTTGCCTAGGATTTTTGAAACAAGTGAATATACATCATATACAGTATGAAAAAGAGATCAATAAAGAAATTTGGAACCTACCAATACTGGTAGCGGGTGTCATGCACAAAACTGACCCTGCGTGTCATGCAATGATAGGTGAAAAAAGTGGATAAAGGGAAGAAACAGGTTAGCCGTTTAGAGTTAACATTCAAACTGAGATTCAAGCATAACCACAGAGAAGTAAGTTAGTTAAATGAAACTGTAAGGTCATTCATAGGTTTGCTTTAACACAAAAAGGTGATTGTGTTCTTACTAAAATCCTAAATATACAGTGTGATTTTTGGCATATTTCTGTGCATATTCAGGATACTTCATAAACTTTTTTACTTATTAATTTTATCGTTTCACATAGTACTTCTGTAGCAACAAGTTTTTGTTTATAGAAACATCTTTGATTAAAGGTCACGGTATTTGGGAATTTTAGAACTCACTGCATAATTCAGACAGCTCAATATAGCACAGATCAGCATTCACCAACTTTCTGACACGCATCAGAGAAAGAAGTTAAAATGAAATTAAGACAATATTATTCTGCAGGGGCTTTGCCAAATTTGTGTTTGATGTTAATGTACCCATTCTTAACACAACTGGAGGTGGAGCGGTGCTTCTGAAGAAAATAAACACTACTTTGACAATTCCCCAAGCTAAACACCTCAAAGTGTGTAACGTTGCAGCAGAAGGCTCCCAGTACACCTCAGAGTGTGGAAGCACTGCTTGCCTGGAATGCTTAACCTTTCTGGAAAAGACCAAATGGAAAAAAACATCAGCATATTCAGTACAGTACATACAGCAAGCTGGTGAAGTTATGCAGGGAAGGAGACTGGTCCCAGATACGTGCATATTTGACACAAAGCCGAATATGCTTCCTGTATTCCTGCTTAATTACTACCACAGCACCTTCCGGGACTCTGCAGTACTTGTGTAACTATGAATGACCTTACCCAAGAACAGTTCCCAGAGAATACACAAAGTTCCTCCTCTAGAGGCTATAGAAACACTAACAAACAGCAATGGAAAGAGAGAAAAGATCTCTTGTTTTTAAGATCGTTCACCAAACAATAAGGAGAAGGTGACAAAGCAATCAAACTGATGTAAAACAAACAAAGTGCAGAACTTTGGAGGTAAGCCATGCTAAGTCAAGCCCCACACTTTTTGTTAGGGGAGCCAGTGGTTAAGAAAGCAGAGGAGTTATATAAAACAATTAAGTTTTATATATATTCCAGCAGCAAAACTTGTTTTAAAATTTAATACACATACACACACACACACACACACACAAGGAACACGTTTGAAAATTATACCAGTTTAGAAAATACCACATAATCATTTAAAATGCAACAGATAATGTCATGCATTGCTCCTTAGACCTGGGTGGCATGACAGTCCTTACACCCGCCAAATCCAACCTTCCCAGGAAATGTGGGAATATCAGTGCAGCATCTTTAATGGAAAACTCATGACACCCACTCATATAGAGGGGGTTTCCCTTTCCTAACCTTGTCCCATACCCCATTTCTCTATCTAATATCCTTTCTAGGTGCTGATGGTGTTTGAGAAGACCAGGAGGTTCATCACTTTTGAGAAAGGTTTTCTACTCTGGGGCTTGGGCTCCATCTGCTATGTTACACTTCTGATTCTTTTTTTTTTTTTTCATGCACTTGTTTTGGGGCTTGCCAACAACCTGGCCTGTAAGGTTTACTTCCAAGATCCACACTTCTTACCATCAGAAATTTGTCAGATAAAACTATAATTACAACCATTAGCTGGAAAGGGGGACACACAATAAAAGTACAAAAAGTGAGCTATTTAAGGAAGCATGAAAACTACAAAAGTCTGGAAAATATCCAAATGCTCTTTCACTGAAAAAGGTTTAAACTACTGTATTTTCCATAGTTAATTTGAAGTCCTTGGCAATTGCAAATAATAGCAATAAGCCCCAAAAGGGAGTGCTTAAGAAGGAAAAACACCTATTGTGCTGCAAATTCTCAGGGTTTCAATGTAAAATAAATTTGTGGAAATTTCGGCATGTTTGTAAGCACAGGGCAGTCTTCCATTCATGTCCAAATAGGCAGTCTCACGTTTTTTTTTTTTTTCCCCAAACACTCCCATAAATGTCAATGTGTTTTCTGCCACAGATATTCTAGTGCACCAATGTGCTAAAAATACAGCATGCTATAACTTACTATTACAAATACGGGGGCAGGCTCCAAGGTTGTTACTGAGGCCTTATAGAAAAATTCCATGAAGTCAAAGCCATCTGTGTTTGCTTTTTATCTTTAAAAACATATGGGAATGCTGATAGATTGGGAAATCATCATGTGTTGTGTTTCATTCCTTGTTTTACCGACATTCTTTCTATAAACTAAAATAACATTGCTGAAATGTCAAACGCATTTGTAAACACGTAGTTTTAAATCATTCTGGAAGTTCACACTGGATAACATTCTGATACTAAAATATATTATTAGTCAATTATGAATGAAATTGCAGAATTCCTTAGGCAGGATATTTACCTTTGGGAAGTTTGGAGTGGGGGTGACTGACATAATTTAAAGGGTTATGTTGTTACTGTTTACACAAGCACCTAGCACATTCCTTTTCTCACAGTGTTAAAGAGAAGCTCTGCCACCAGCCATGGTGCTCTGATTTTTACAGAGTTACGAGCACTGAAATGTAAATTGCATTCACTCATCTTCAGATCATCCTTATGAGGAAGTGTAACCCCAGCTATGAGCTGCAAATGCTAGGAAAAGTTCTGGTGGTGTTCCAAAATGAGAACCACAAAAATGCATCTGATGCCTCAAAGCCCTTTTAGTGCAGTTACAGGAAGCGATGTGTTTTGCCAGTATTGACTGGAAGGTTATGGCTGGTGTTCCCCTTCTCAGGGTGCTCGTGTGCAGCTGGGGCAATCCCCACGGCTGCACAACAGCAGCCAAGGGAGCAGGAGGATGCTGTGGCATCTCTGGAGTGTGATGCTTTCCCCAGCGTTTTGTTAGCAGAACTTTGCCCTCTTGTCATCTAGGTGAGTGCTGGCAGATACGAGTCAAAATCCAGCCAATTTAAGGTAGGCAAAAAAGGGGCAAACTCTGGACAATGATGAGCAAGGCTGTGAATGTGCAAAAATGCAGCTTAACGGCATGCTGAAGTTTCTCCTTGAATTGTCATCCTGTGCAAGAAGAATTAAAATTACATGTAATTTTAATCTGTGCAGACTTCACCTCAAGTGGGGCAGGGAGCAGTTAAGTGCAACTGCCTGACTTGGAGCTACCTAAGGAACACAATATTGGTTCAATGTGGGTACAACATACCTGTTGGGATAAACGCTGCATGTTGCTGCAACTGAGCATTGGCAAGAGCCTGTTGATAGTGCAAGACACTGGGATTGAAAACGGCACTGGCACCATTGCTTTTTTCAAGTGCTTGTCTCTTTGGTAAAGGGTGAAGAACACCAGGAGGAAAGGCCTGTAAATAAGAAAGTTAGTTAAAATGACGCCATTTTTAAGACGTTGTCTGTAACATATATACAAATATGAAAACTTAGTATTTTTTAAAGCGGCTAAAGATGCCTTGCCATGCATATTAACTCAAAGCACAGCAATGTAAAATGAGTGAAATTTTGTTATTGATAGCAAAAGCATGGTACTATTAACCTAAAACTGTAGCAGCACAACTACTGAAAAGAAACGTTTGCTTTAAAGCAACGAAAATGGCATTGCCTTTAAGTAGGTTTTCAAATATTACAGGGAGAAAAAACCACTTGTGTTTCATTGCCAAGTATTTTCTTTTTTTTTTTTAATTTAAATATCATTTCCTATTATTATACAGATTAATGGATTACGTTACACGTTTTTAATTACAAAAGCAGTTTTATCTCAATTCAACTTTTCATGAGAGATTTAAAAAAGATGAAACTGTGTTAGGAACCAAACTAAATAGTCTGCGGTTTATTACGTATGAGAATGAGATGGATAAATAGAGCTTCCGGTAAATTAACGAGTATGTGAAATCATTTCCGGTTGATGTTCGAAAAGTAAAGCGATACAAATTTCATTAGTTGCTTCTCTGAAGGAAAAAAAAAAACCAAAAACCAAAAACAAACAAAAAAAAAAGCTACATGCAAAGCAAAAGGTGAAAGGTCAAAGTACCAGGTCTACAGTTGCTTCGAGAGGTCGCTTCATTGCTTTGGCAGTCGACTGAGTCTTTTAATAACAGGCAGCGAGCACATGATGGCAGTGGGCCAATGGGAGTCAAGCGAATTAACATACAGGTAAACAGCAAGCAGAGGTGCATCATGGGAACGGCATTGCATTTGTGGATAGGTGAGAAGGAAAAAAATATTCTGAATGCAATATACAACATACAAAACACTAGGCATGCACAACAACAAAAATGTCTTCTAAAGAAATGAATATTACATTTTGAATTAGTACCGAAGCAAAAATGCATCTACTATACCTTAGTTAAAAGCATATAAGAGAGTAAAATATAGATGTTTGAAATTCAGGAAAGTTGAGTAAAACAGCAGCTTGCAGACACTATTAAGCATCATATAAACACTTCACAGAGATGCAAAAAGTTTTAAGGATATGCCTATAGGAATTCCTGATAAGTTAGTTAAGTCACATTTCAAAGTGGCAAAATTGATTTGGGAGGCTACATTTTCAAATGTAAAGCACTAGTGAAAGTTGTAACGCATTATGAATGCTATTAACATCAGTGCTTACAAGCCAAAGGTATTTTAATTTAGACAAGTGAATCATTGAATGGATTTGGGATTCAAAATGAGAGAGGCTCTCCTTTGCCAACGTCTAGTTACACTAACTTATCATTAATTCCTTTTTTTTCCTCCTATAGCTGGGTCATTTTTGTAGATTTTTTTCCTTGTAACTTACCACATTACATTGAGAGGGAAAAAAAGGCTTTCAGAATTGAAAACCTACTTGAAAACACACTTTCTAAATTTTGCTACAATCTTCAGTACTAGCTTCAGGTCAGGAGTAGGGAGTAAAAATAATGCTCCCAGTTCATAAGTGAACATTAACCTAAGAGTTACGATATTAGTCCAGCATTATTAATTTTTTAAAAGAAAGTATCTAGGCATAGTACATAGGCATATACATTTATGTATATTTTCATAATAAGATCAAACTTATGGCTGATATGATGGCATTCTGTAAAAATCTCATGTAAAATATTACTTTCAAGTTTTATAACTTAAACAATTCTTAAAAACATTTAGAAAGGAAAGAAAAATTTATTTAGAAATCAAAATTTTTGCTTTTGTTTTTTAAACACAGGCTGGTATTTAGCTCTTTTTAGAATATACGGATTATGTCAACCTTGAAATCAGTTATGTGGAAATAGGGAACAAAAGTGGGGGGGAAAAAAAAGGACAAGGCACAAAATGCCTGCATAGAGCTTGTGGTCACAAGGTTAGCTAGTGTCAACAGGGTATTTTGCAGAATAGTCCTCATTTTGCTTATTCCTTGTTCCTGTCTCTGTTGCACGAGTCTTCTCAACACCATCTGCATCTCTCCTTTGGCACTTTTCTGGATTACATACCCTGATCTGTAGGATCTGCTCATCTGTCTGTGTCCAAGACCCAGACATAACAAGAAACACCTGGTACAAAATTAGGATCTGGACAGACTTCTGTCTAAGCAGGGCACCGTGCAGCCAAGGTTTGATACCTGCCACAGGTACCACTGAGAGGGCATCACTCTGCCTGTATGGGGCACAGCCTCAGATCCACTCTGCCTTCAGCACAGACCCAAGCCTACACAGAGGTGAAGCAGTACAACTGAATTCAGCATTATGCAATTATGAAGTCCACAAATTCAAATCAACATCACTAAGAGTAAAGCATTTCAGTTAATTACATTTATTATCCAAACGCAGATTTTATCTAATCTCACTTGTGAACTTATTATCTGTTTATTATCGCCTTTCTCCAATTCTTCTCCATGCTCTTCTTAACCTCATCTCCCTACTTTGAAGTTTTTTGCTGGCTCTCCCCTCAACTTTCACAGCAAGTTCAGTCTCACAGTTTTCTCAACCCAAAGGCTTTAACTTGATCTGTTTCTAAGCCTACTCATCAACCTCGTTTCCATATAGTCTCCCACTCTTTTCAGGCTTTCAAACTGCTCATTTTTCTCCCCTACAGTCATATTTTCTTTTATTTCATCCTGATAGTAAAATTTCCTTTGCCTCTTTCTGTTCCATCAGGTTATCTCCTTCTTAACATTTGATCTCCTACATAACTAACAACCAAAAAAATCAATAGCTACAGGCTGGAGAGAAGAGAAAAAGGCTATGGAAAGGAAATAAAGATAATAATAAAAATTATCAAAGATCCAAGGCATAGTATTTGTCTGCCATATGTCACGTTGGCAAATTATAATGTCTCCTGGAATACAAGTAAGATCCACACAGCAGTGGCCTCCACGGATATGCAAGGAGCTCCTGACTAAATTCAAACACAAGAAAGAAAGCACACAAGAGGTAGGAGCAGGGACAGATGGCTCAGGAGGAACTGGGACACAGCCTGAACATGCAGGGATATGTCAGAAGAGTCAAAGATCACCTGGAGTTGAATCTGGCAAGAGATGTGAAAGCCAACAAGAAGGGCTTCTCCAAGTGCATAAGCAACAAAAGGAAGACTAGAGAAAATGTGTTTCCACTGCTGAATGGGGCAGGCAACCTGGTGACACAGGACATTGAGAAGGCTGAGGTTCTGACAATCCTTTCCATCTCCATCTTTACTGGCAAGACTTGTCTTCAGGACAGTGGGAGACCAGTAGGAAAGTCTGAAGTGAAGATTTATCCCTGGAGGAGGATGATCAGGCTAGAGCACATATAAACAAGCCGGATGTACACAAATCCATAGGAACTAACAGAATGCACTAACAGATGGGTGCTGAGGGAGTTGGCCAATGTCACTGCGAAGTTACTCTTAATTATCTTTGAAAGATCCCACTGACTGGGGGAAGTTCCTGAAGACTGCAAGAAAGTAAATGGTACTCCTATCTTCAAAAAGAGCAGGAAGGAAGGTCTGAGGATTCACAGGTTGGTCAACCTCACCTCAGTCTCTGGGAAAGCAATCGAGCAAATCCTCCTGAAAACCATCTGCAAACATATGAAAGCCAAGATGGTGATGGGAAGTAGTCAGCATATATTTGTGAAAGGGAAATTGTGCTTAAAAGCCTTCTATGATGAGACTGGCTTGGTGGGTGAAGTGAGATCAATGGATGTTCTTTCTCTTGACTTCGAAAAGGTTTTCAACACCACTTCATCCTCATAGACAGCCATATTTAGTATGGGCTAAATGGGAAACAGGTGGACTTCCAGTGCTCTAAAACTCGGAGGAGTGGTTGATACAGAAGATAGATGTGCTGCCACATAGAGGGACCTAGAAAGTCTGGAGAAACGGGCACAGAGGAACTTCACTACGTTCAACAAAGAGAAATACCAAGTCTCATACCTGGGGAGGAACAGCCCCAAGCACCAATACACACTGTCGGTCACCAAGGTTTGGTAGAAAAGACCCTCAAGACCTTGGTGGACACCAAGACAGCAATGTGCCCTCACAGCAAAGACAGCTGACAGCATGCTGGGCTGCATTAGGAAGAGCACCACCAACAGGTGCAGAGAGGTGATCCCTCCCCTCTACTCAGCACTAGTGAGGCCACATATGGAGTGCTATGTCCAAGTCTGGGCACCCCAGCACAAGAAAGGTACAGACACACTAGAAAACAGTCCCATAAAGAGCCCAAAAAATGATGAAGGGACCTGGAGCACCTCTTATCTGGGGAAAGGCTGACAGAATAGAGACTTTTTAGCCTGGAGAAGAGAAGATACAAGGGGAAACCTCATCAATGTATACAAATAGCTGACAGCAGGGTAAAGATGGGGCGGGGAACAAATGTCGATACAAGAAATTCCATTTAAATGTAAGATTTTATATAAAGGAAGTATTTCTTTTTACTGGTAGTATGGAGCAGGTTGTCAGGAGAAGTTGTGGAGTCTCCATCCTTGGAGGTATTATTAAGCCAAACAGACATGTACTGGGCAATCTACTCTAGCTCACCCTGCTTGAGCAGGGGAAATGAGCTAGGTGATCTCCAGAGGTCCCTTCCAATACCAACTATGAATTCACATTTTTATTTAGGCTGTACAGTCTTCAGCGATGTTTTATGCTCTCTGAAGCACCATATGAATATTTGGAGTTCCACAAGCACAGTGACAGGTAACACTCTCTTCTAATGCATTTTCGCATTTAACCTATATGTGTACCTCTTTTACGGTGGCTTCCCCCTTTCTTTTTACATGACTAGGTGATCTAGTATATCTGAGTACAAATTTCTAACCCTTAGTGCACAGAAACACAGATAGTGCACGTTCTGAAAAGTGGTAGAATGCAGAACTCATTGACCTCCAACAGTCTTACCAGCTTTGCCTACAGCGCTCCAGGCCTATGCACAACTCTCACCTATAGAAGTACCTTGGGCTCCCCTGCGAAGGAAAACCTCTTGGACACAATTTCAACCTGTGAGCAACCTGCAAGTGAACCCTATAGGCAAGCATATGTATTTTTCCCTTTTGCTCTCTAGATCCAGCTGAGCATTCTTAGTCATTCTTGGGTGGCCTTGCAGTCATGTAAGGCCATTTCTACCGCTTTTTTGTTGCTATTGGCATTCTGGTGATTTTTCATTCACTCTATCTGATTATTTCAAGTCTATATTAAGCAAAAAATAGTTGAATTGCAAAGAATCTTGTCTGCTAGCCTAAATGTGCCATTAGAATATTTTGTACAAATTTTTCTGCAAAAAGTTACTCTGTTCTACTGCCTTCTCCAGTGACATTAGACTGCTAATATTTCAATTCTGTGTTTCCAATTATGCTTCATCTTGCTTTGAGGCTAATGCAACTCCAGTTAAGGCTTATTTAAAATCACAGAATATATATACAACCATTACTGAAGTGCAAAAAAACCCCATAATCCACTCATCTCTCTCCATTCTTCTTTAGTGTAGTGCCTAGAAATTACACAATCTCTAAATGAACAATAAATATTGCACAACAGAAGCTAATCAGAATACAAACCCAACCTTCTTTGCTTTAATTTCCAGATGGTATTCAATTTCTGCAAGCACAGGAAACTTTAACTAAAAATCATCCAATTTGAAACAGAGACTGTTAGAGTATTAGAGAAAAAAATATTAAAACTTAAGAAATATTATTCTGTTTGGTGGTTTATGTTCTTGCATAACTTACCCTTTGTCCCTCAAAAAAGTCTGGTCTTTGCTATTGGCTAAATACAATAGCTTGGGGTAGTTATATACTGTACTGTATTGTGTTTCTGGTAAGCGTTTTACCCAGAGAATAACTGTATTGTCTATAACTACTGTATGCACTGCCCACAAGTCCACAAACCACATCTGCTTAATTATTCGTCCACTGCCAGCAATGAGGACAACGATTCTTCGATTTGCTGCCAGCATTTTTGTCTCCCAATTCAGATCTTGCATGCTTGATTTTTTTTTAACTTTATCAATACCACTCCAAATTTATCAACTTTCCTGGTAGCAACTGTAAGAGGGATCCAATACTGGTAAATGGATGGGTTGACTTGTCTGAACAGTTTTAAGTAAGAGGTTAAAATATCGGAAAATAAAAGCCCTCAATCTGTTTTCTTCTGAGTGTAGCTACAATGTTTTTTCTTAATGATTTCCCTTTTGCTTTACTACTTTTAAACCCCATGATTCAAGTAACTGGCCCATGACAGTGGGAGAAGCAAGAAGTCTCTAGCCATGAGATTCATCTAACCAAAGTTCAAAAAGATACAGGCAACACTTTTTCGTCTTTTGGGATAGTTTTGTATCTGCAGAGGGCAGTTCTTTCTCATCCTCAGACAGGCACTAATGGTAGAATAGAGCAGTGTGCTGGTTTTTCTCCTCTCCCAAACAGTGAGACCACGGTGGCCAGCTATTTAACTGTCTGACTGCTAAGGTGGAGTGTGTTGAATCTCAGTGGAGGTTTCTGTTCTATTACTGATCTCCAAAGCAAATGCTCTCTCTTTCCTTTTCTTCCAAATTTCCACATGTATATCCGTCATCAAAGAGCTAAAACAGCATATGTGTCCCTGTTCTCCTGGGAACACTGAACCTTATCAGTTTTGTTTCTGTTTGGAGATACTAGGGGCAAATTTATATATAATCAAGGCAGAGAACAGAAGTGGTATAGAGTGTCATTTGCTTCACTGTCTTGAATAGAAATACAGCATTAAATTAAGGGCATAAAGAAAAAAAAGTGCTTCCTCCCATCAAGCAATAATAATAGTTTTAAAAATTCGTATCTTTTACCAAAATAAAAAAAAAAAAAGAAAAATTTTACCAAAAGAGGCAAAAGAGAAAAGAAAGTATAAGCAAATAGCATCAAATTCAAGCAAAATAGGCATCAAAAAAAGGCAGCCATATATGCCAGCACTTACCATCACAGTCGCAGCTGCCGCAGCTGCCTGGGCTGCCACTGCAGCCTGGTTGGCTTGGTGTTGCGCCGCTTTGATTTTGGCCTGCAAATGTGCAGGAGGGTGAAAATACTTGCATTTCTCCCTCATGCAACGACCTTTTATGTAATCCATACACACGGTTACGGTGTTGTCGTTTGTGTCAATCATTGTGCTGTCTGCTGGATGCGCAAAGCGGCAATCAGTCTCTCCACGTGCACAGTTTCCCCGCTGGAACTCCCTGCACACCTACGTGCAAAACAACACATGTTGCAGGGGTAGAGCTCCGTGTAAGATGAAAGGGCAAGGAGAGCCCCGTGCCCCCAAAAGACAGATCTGCCGCTTCCCCCAGATAGTTCAAGTTTTACAGAAAATTCAATTTATTAAACCCTTCATCTTCTGGTGGGAGAGGGAAATGTATCTATTTTACCCTTACGTTCTTGGCTCCTCGGGTAGCTCTGCAGTACAGTGGCTAAATGAACTTGACATGCAACAGAAGAATTCACAAGTGCCTTTCCTTTTTCTGGTTTAGAAAACAGCTGGAAAAGATACTTACTGAAGTAACTACCCCTGCAAAACTAGCTGGGAATGACAAAATATTTCATCCCTTTCTAACTACACTTTGTATTCTTGCAGGGTGACAGGTAGGGAAGGAGTTCCTCTTGCTGAAACTCAGGGAAGATACATGTCAGATGCACTGTATTTTTTATGGAGTCTGCAAACAGAATTGAGAGCCTTCTTAAAAATAATTTTCAAATATGAGGAGAATGAACTTCTTTTCCTAGGAAGAAATTTGCTGTAGAGACTAGTGCTTAGGGCTTAGACTAGGGGATTGGATTTTGGGGCTATCTCAAACCATGACAGACATTCATTTCTGCAAGTCATTTGGCCTTCTTATGTCCTTGGATCTCACAGATTCCACTGAGTCCAGCCATGCAGAGATCCATCAACACCTGGGACGCTCTGCACATAACTGGGGGCTTGTCCCTTCCACCTGCTGCAAGGTTGGTAACATTCAACATGTCTATTTGCAGCTGAAGCATGAAGGGCTACACCACTCCCCTAATATTGATCCATAAGGCTACAAAATTCCCTTACTATCAGTGCGGAAAAATCAAGACAGAATTAATACTGAAATAAAAAATATGCTTGTTAGATATTTCATCAAGGCATGTATACCTGAGGTATTTTGGAGGTAATGAACTTTAAAAAAGATGAAAATTCACGTTGATGTCTATTAAATTTAAGCAAATGTACTACCTTAAAAATAACAGTGTTTAATTACCACTGGCTACAAGTGCAGAAATCCTGCCTGGTTACAAATTTTTTTACCTGTAGCAACTAAATTTAAGACTAGATTTAAACCAACAGCTTTTCCCTCCAGGATCTTTCACACAGCCTAACAGAGGATGTATTTCTAGTCACAGTGGTGTCTACAGTACCTCCAGTTTATCAGTCCTGAGGAGCTTCTGGGTAGCAGTTGAACTGGGGACTGAAACCGGTGGACTTCCAGGAACAATGACAGGCGGTGTGGGTAGGATCTCAGTCGGGACTAAGCCAACTCCCGGTGTTACTGGCGTTAGGTAAGGAGCAAAGCTAATAGCCGTGTTCGTTCCTATTGTGGGACCCACTGGAAATGTGGGCTGCAAAAGGAAAACACAGACCAAGATGAAAAAAAAGGCCCTTAATCAATAGCTTACTAGTTGTCTTTTGCTTGTTCTTTCTGGCACTGATTCATTTTCTTAATGAAAAAATTTCAAACAGCTGGCAAAACACACAGCATACTCTTCTTTTAATCATGTAACACACTGGAGCAGCACACGAAGAACTGCCTTTTTAACACTATTATTGGAAAAGAGTCTCCTGATGCAAAGGAAGCCATACTTTTAACATGAATTTCCATGGAGGTCCAGCTTACATTGCAGGCTTATTTACACATCTAAATGTAGAAATAACATAGACTTTATTGCTTTTTCTCAATACCTGTTTTCCTTGGGAAAACAGGCTATTTTTCAAAGTACCAGATTTCATAGGTGAAGCGTTATTAACTATATTAAAGTCATATTTCTAATAAGAGTATACACAATGAGGTCTTTGGCATGTAACTCCCATCTGTTTGCATACTGTATTTTGCCACCTCCTGCAATAAGTTACTGTGGCTCATACATTTAAAAAACTCACCTTTGCAAATGTTTGTGTGCTCAGCTGTCACCAGTGGCAGGCAGAATAAATACTATAATCTCAGCTGGACACAATATTTAGAAAGGGATTATTCAGGCTTTGCTAGAGTTCATCATATGAAAAACTTTGATTGGAGGAAATGATATGGGTCTAAAAATCTTGTTTCATGCCTTCCTACAGTGAGTCAGTGAAGTCACGACCAGAAGAAAGAACACTTGTGTGATGCTAAAACGCAGCCCTGATGAGGCAGAATAGTGGGTTTGTTACCACCAGCTCCACAGGGGGTGGAGGCAGAACATCACCATGGTCAGATCACACTCAGACCTGGAAAGCGCTTTAGTTCTGCAGAGCTGATGTTTACCCCAGAGAATGAAGCTATAATTATAAATGAGAAAAAACCATGCAGAAAAACAGGACACATCTCAGATTAGCTTTGTCAGGAATTAAGTTTCCAAATAAGCCAGCAGCTAGAAACATAACAGCAAAATACTAAGACTTCAAACCAGTTTTTAACAAGGGAGGAGTGCCTTCTCATTTAGGTGGCCTGCACCACATACAATATGTAAAAATATGCAAGAGACAGCAAAGGAGCTAGAAGGGTGGGTTTTTTTTCTGTTTTGTTTTGGGTTTCAGTTTGTTTGGGGTTTCTTTTTTCCTTTGGAACCAATTACTAAATTGTAAGTGAAGGTAACTTAGTACAAAGATGTTTTGAGCATGCAGATTAGCCAGGATAAACAACTGTATGGAAATGGCATCTACCAGCCCTAGAGAGTTAAAAATGTATGATGCTCTGGTTTTATCAGTGATCAAAACTGCTTGATATCAAGCAATCCAGTTTATATGTCAAATGTGAGCTAAATTCTTAAGAGCGTAATAATGAACATTTATATGAAACAATGGCTCGACTATGTTGAGGACAATACGTGTTATGTGAAATACAAATAACAGCTTTGTATCAGATATAATTTTATGAATAAATCCACATGTCAAATAACTTCTATAGAATTTTCTTTCACTTTTTATCCATTTGGTCAAGGCTGAGTCATCTTAATCTGGCAATTTATGCAAGACAGAGAAATAAAACCTGGCATTTTTATCACAGCAATCAGTACAGAAGACATTACGTCAATGAAATTGTAAAGTTCAAATGACGAAACGGGCAAGAAGAAAAAAGTATAATTTTCCACTTCAATTTTTCTCATAATACTAAGCAGTGGAATCTATTGCTTCATCAAAACTTTTTTGGATGAAAACTCAAGCAGTAAAAACCCACAAAATATCAAAACACATTAGGCAAACATAACCAAGATACAATTTGATGAACATGTGAAATTCAAGGAGTCCTGACACCCAATTCCCAATCACACCTGACAGCAGATGCTTCAAGTACAAAAACACATTTGAAAAAGACATCTGGGGTGAGCTTCCTGTGACCAAATACAGACATCTGTTTCTGAAAGGCTTACACTTGACTTCTGCAGTAGCCCATGGAAAGACAAAGGCACTTAGAAAACCAAATGCAGATGTTTGAAAAAAGCCAAGCAAATGGTAATTAGGAGTGCCTATGTCTTTTGATAAACTATAAATGGACCTTGCAAGTCCAACACAGAAGTTGATGCCAACACTCCAGATGCCTCAAATTGGAAAAGAAATCCCACTCCAGTGGGATGCCTTACACTAGCCATTTAGATTGAAAAAACATCAGCAGCAGCCATGTGTGCAAAGTTTAATTCAGATTACGTGCCAAACCATGCTTTGGAAGTCTGCTACAGTGAGAAGCCCAACTGCAAGGGCAGCCCAGAGCAACTGATGCTGCTCATGTATGCAAGACTCTAGTTCCATGCCACCTTCTGGATTAGAAGTGTCCCAGGCAACATGAGCATCATCTTGAGACAAAATCACTGAGTTTGTGATGTGCACACACCACCAGTTCTCTGTTTATCCTGGGACACTTCAGACTCCAACAGAGTAAGAAAATGCTATCCAGAATGACATTAACTTTGGTTCCTGGTATTGGTACTAAATAATATTTAAAGCCATTCAAACCCATAGACTCCTGAGAAACCTGGCATTTCTACTCAAATGACTTACTAGCAAATTTTTGTTGTTATTCAAATTTTCACCTCCAGAAAGATTATAGGGAAAAGCCTTGCAAGCCTGTCATGAACTGAATGAAGGCGGAAAAGAGGAAAAAATTGCAAATTGTTTTGGGATAAAAGAAATATAAATTAAATCTACAGCAACACTCCATTTTATCTTCAAATGCAAATATAAATGCACATATCTCTAGCATCTCGGCAATTCCTTAAGTCAACAGACAGGGACTATTTTTATTGCTACTAGTTTAGAGAACTTTTGCAGGTCAATATAGTCTTCAACTTTACTTACCATTAACACCATCAGAGAAATACACTTACCACTGGCTGTAGCGGTGTCCCTGGAAACATGAACTGCATTTGCTGGGCAAGCATTGCTGCTGCAGTTTTTTGCTGGATTAAGTTGTTCCTGCCATTGATTTCCAGTTGAGTTTTTAAATGTGTTGGTGGATGAAGGTACTTGCAGTTCTCCCTTGTACAACGACCCTGGAAAAAGAAGTCACATTAATCGGCCTGCTGCTTTTGATGATAGTTTAATGCCTGCGAGCAAAATATGATACTATAAACTAAGCAAGAACTAATGAAACGCAGGGTGTGTCCCGTGAACTGTCCTGTAGCAGACTGGGAGGAGCGGATGGCCTTGAGCTCTGCCTCAGCCCACCACCTCTGATTGATCATTTAGGCTATAGCCACAGGAAAAAAACCCAAACAAAACAGAAAGGCTTTGAATCAGCATTTTCATTGTTAAGTACAGATCACTGCCATACAATTAATGCTCTGAGAATTATCCAGACTACCTGAACTGCCTTTCATAGCATCTTTGTTAGAGTATCTGGTGTTATTGTAACATAAAAGTTTTTTTATAAATTACATTACATTATGAATAACAAATTGAAACCTTCTTTTAGAGTAATGCAGCTTTTAAGTACATCATATTAAAAATAATTGTGTGTGTTCATGGCAGTAAGGATCTAAAGTGGCCACTCTGCTTGTCTTCCCTCATATGTTCACCCTTATTCCAGTTCACTGCCTTCTAGCCTCCTGTTTTTATTACATCAGTACAAGTTTGAACTATTTCCATTCAAGTATAAAAGAGGTAAAGCTGGTACTTTTACAGACTAAATTTAGAAGCAGTGCATGGAGCTAAATCTGAAGGTACACAGCAAAAGGAAAGCTCCCAATCAACATGAAAGCAGGAATTTTTAGACAGTAATGAGGTAATAAGAGACAACAAAAATATAAGTGGGCTGTCATCTCTGAGGTGGCTTGTGTTGGAGGAGATGGACAGCTCTACAAGCTGTGTATGCTTGACCACAAATGCAGGTAGAGTGGCATAAGACGCACTGATACATTTTCCCTCAGAAAAGTAAATTGCAGGGTGCATCGGGAGGTTTTGCAGCTGCAGGGCAGGACCTGCTGAGATCAGAAGCTCCTTGATGACAAGGCTCACAAACAATCACAGAATTTTAAGAGCTGTAACCAGAGGACCTAGAGCGTTAGTCAAAATGCATTTGATACACTCAACTTGTATAAGGTAAGTTTCCAAATTGAGATGTTTTTAAAAAATGCTTTTTAGACTTTCGATTCATTGGTATTAGGGCTTTACTATCCATAGCAAAGCAGGAATATCCTCCTATAGCCAAAAAAGCATCAAGATCCCTATACAAGAACATCACACAGCACAGACATACACTGGCTCTGTGTATGCATGCCCACACACATACAGCTACAGACCTTTCAGTAGGCTTTGAATATCCCCAAACAACAGTGTCACATTTTTTACTTAGACACCAAAACACTGCTGATTCTGCCTCTAATCTGCTATAAGGATGTAATAACTAGCTATACAGGAATGAGTTAAACATGTTCAGGAAGGTTCTCCTGCATTGAGGCTAACAGGAATGCAAACAGCTATTTCCACGCTATTTAACTATTGAGAACAGCCCTTTCCTGAACTGCCCCTGGCCACTGCTTGGGAGTATACCAAACAGCAGAGGCCAGAAAACATCAAGAAAGCTAAAAATTTAAGAAAAAACAATGGTCTCAATGCTCAGGAACAATGGTCTCAGTGCTGTTTTAACCTGCTAGTATAGATGCAGCCACTTTCAGGACATCACGCCTTTCCTTCTGTTGAGTAAATCACTAATGCTACCTGGTTTAATGAAGTCCACAAAAGGAATGTTATTCTGTCAGCTGACATGAGTAGAACCAGAAATAGTCATGATTTGATGGACACAAAAGAAGGCTGGCTCTTTCATTTGGCAGGACAAGGCCTTTGCCTTCATAATGTTAAACTCGGGAAGGCTCAGCGCAGGCAATGGCCATACGCTTCTGTGTTGGCTGATGAGGCTAACTGATTTAGACATTTTTAACTGAGACCTATTCTACCTTAATCTATTTTGTATATGAATGGTTCATACAGCAAATCTAAAAATTAAAACAGTAAAATCACATCAAACTACTGTACCTGATGGAAATATCTACCTGTCGAAACTAAAATGCTCCTTAAATGAGGATTGAGAACAACTCTCCACCACAGTGGCTTCTGAAGTACCTCAAACCTGAAGAGTGCCTCCAGTCTTACCTCTGAAAGCACACAACTACTGTATACCACCACTTCAAGATCTGCAAAGCAACTCACAATGCACAAAAGATTGGTTATTTCTGAAAACTTTCTAAATAATCCGACCATACAAAACTGCAGTGTCCTCTCTAACCTTATTCAAGTCTGTGCCTCGTTTACTAGCTTTTTGAGCTCCCAGTTAGCAATGAACGTACGTACTATAAAAGAGCTGTGTGGTCCTGCTATGCTGCTATAGAAAGCCCTCTAAACAGATCAAGCCTTGTTGAAATTAAATGACCCAAAATAAACTGCAGTGGAATGAGCACTGAAAATAGTGAGGAGATTAATCCAGCCCTCACTATCAAAATTAAATAAATTCTGAGATCAGCTTTTACTTTTTGGACCTACAATGGTAGCAGGAAAATGCCTATAAGCGTTTTCATTCCTTTTTTCCCAAATGCTTCATGTCCCAACTACTAATCACTGCACAAACAAAAATTCAAACTTGTAGTATTATTTCAATCAAATGGGATCCTGATTTTTTTTTGTTTATTAGAAAGTCAAATATGAAGTCCAATGGACATGTCAGCACATATCAACCAAACAGCAGCACTGTACACAACACACAGGTATATTCAACACATTGGTTGGGTCAATATCAATAAGAGTCCACTTCGGATTATTGCAAAAAACTACTATGCTAGTAGGCCACATGATCACAGATACAGAGACAAAGCTGAGTACTTTAACTTTAGGGTGCATCAATATCAAGCCTCTGGAGAGAGGTTCATCCCAGCTCTTAAAACTACTGCAGTTTAAGAGCTGCTCCGCAGACATTGAGTCCCTCTGGCACACGATGGCACAAACTCAGCAGGACAGGGCAGGTGGCAGGGAAAAATAATTGCTTCTTACAACTTTTCACCTGCTCCCAGATACAAGTTAGAGTCCTGAAACTGAGGGCACAGACAGATTGGTTTGAAACTGGGTCCCTAGAAACTCCTGTCATCCATGAAGTGAAGGTTATCAACAAGCACATCATAAGTGGTTGTGCACTTCCCATAGGAGTTCATGCGAAAAATTCACTTTCAGTGAGCTGCCTCCTTACCTGCAATGGATAGTAACAATGAACAGACATCAGATTAAATTCCGAGCAGTCTGTTACTCCCCTCATCCTGGAAGGATGGAACCTAACTCTGATCTTTCATTTCTCTGCCTTTGTCCTCTACAGCTAGCCTAATGCACGGCACTACATTTCAGTTGGGTAATGGAAAGTTTTAGCAAAAAAATTACTTTTCTACTGCTAATTATCCAGACTGGAAACATGTTGTGGCTCGTGTTGGGCTGTGCCACAGGCTTCATTCCAGTGAAGCAGTGGGAAAGGGAAAGGGTGCATCAAGGATCTGGGGACTCAAAGGGCTTCAGTGCCCATTACCTGGGCATGGCAAGGAGAAGCTCTGCTTCTGCCAGGGCAATGGTCTTGGGAGCTGCTACCTGACTGGCTTAATTTCAAAAACACATCCCTTCACAAGCCATGTCACACCACTAACTTTTTTTTTTAAATCAATAAGTTTTTCTATTAAGAACAATAGATAGTTTGTCTAAGATCAATCGCACAAGACAGCCCACAGACTAGAGTATATTAAAAAGCTAGGTACGTGCTTTGAATTTTAAGATAAGCAAAATGAGGTAAGTTTAGAAGTAACACCCCATAACTTTGCATATTAACATACTACGAACCCATTTCCTGTCTACAAGTTGTACAGCCATGTCTCTGTCTTGAATATTTTATAAATACACAGCTTTCTTCAGTATTTTACTATTGCTCTAATAGTAACAACAATAATAATAATTCATCCAGGCCTGGGAATTCCTTATGCCTAATAATGAGTTAGCTTTTACTTACCAAAATTACCTTTATCTTTCATAAAAATGTTTGAATAGAAAAAAAAAAGGCAAAACAATGTTTCTTTCATTTCTTAAGCCACGAATCAATTAAAGCATTCATAATGATTTCACTCAGGTACTGATTTCAGGCAATATATTGATGCTATTAGCGGGCAATAATACAGCATGCCTCCCCTACCTCACAGCATGACCTAACATCTGACACAGGACATCCCATCACCTTTAAAAGACAGGTTATCTGATGAGAGGTAGAAACAGGAAGGCCTGCTGCCTTGCCGATGTTTGTCTCTTGTTCTGAACCTCGCTCCCCAGGGTGCTTCCAGCTCCCTCTACCCACCTCTGTTCTCCAAAAACTCCCAGCTTTCTACAGTACCCCAACTCCATCCTTCCTTCTCCCCCAGAACACCCTCCCACCCCTCCTAACTATAGACCAGGAAACAACTCATACGATAAATATAACTCACTTGAGACTTGCATGTCCTGAAGAGCCAGCCAAGATGTGAATGCGGCTGGCAGACCACACTTGGGTGTGGCTTAGTGCCCGCTCCAGCCTTTTCCTTAATAGGGTAGTACTTTGGATCTCTCTCTTGTACCCAGACACTGATTTTTGCATAACCAGTAAGAACCTTAAGATATGTCTTTGAGATGTCTGCTTCTAGCAACTTTGCTTGAAATTGGCTAGGATGTTCAAAAGTTATTAGGGTGAGAGGATGATGCTGGCAAAAATACAGATAGTGCAATTATGCAAAACCTGTTTCCTTAAGAAAACAAGCTAAAATTAACAAATGTAGATGAAATTGTATGATCTCTCAGGATTAAATATGCAGTCTAATGGGGGGGGAGGAAAGTATATGACTTCCAAGACATGAATGGTTTTAGAAGGCATCTGAGTAACCGGTTATACAAAGGAAAAAGGGTTTTCTGGTTTCCAGCTAGACATTCTAAGATCCAAACATTTGCTGGAATTAGAAAAGACACACGCATACACAAATTTTTAAAAAGTAAAAATCACCTGATG